TCTTCCAGGATGATGCCTGAAAGCGACCGACCACTGACGGTTGCTGCTGTGGCTCAAGCCTCATCTCCTGATAGTGCAACCCGTCAGGTGTCCCAAAGTTACTGCGCGAGACAGTATGGCAGACGGGCGTGAAGGTGCAGACGGATTTGAGGAGTTTCCCGAGGACGAAGCACCTGATGCGGATGAAGAGGAAGGAGAGGATCTGATGGGGGAGAACATGATGGATGATTACCAGCCCCAACCAGAGCTGGATCACTATGATGAAGAGATGTTGGACGACGGCCCGCATGAGCGCATGCCACTGGCCACGCGCCTGGCAGCAGAGCGGGAGATGGCTGCCAGAGATCGCCAAGAAGGCCGTGCCCCTGCGGGCAGGTCACCTCCTCCCACAGCAGAATCTCCAAGACGTCCCACTCAGATTGACACGCCTTTCAAGAAGCGCTTGCAGAACCTGGCAAGTCCCGGCAGCGCTGCCGGATCCAGCGAGGCAGAAGACACATCCAGCAAAAAAAGGAAACGCACGGGCGAGTACCTCTCTGAGGATGGTCCTGATGAGGATGTGCCCGAGAGCCACTACGACCTCAACCAGGAGACCTTGACTCCAGGTGCCGAAGTGGAGAAGCGTCTGGCGGATAAGATCCGCTTGAGCTTCGAGCAGTTCTTGATAAAGTTTGTGCCTGAGGGGCAGTTGATCCCCAGGTACCCGGATGCACTGCATAAGATGGCGGAGGAGTATCAGGCACACCTTGAAGTGAGCTTCCAGCACCTACAGGAGTGGAGCGGCAACCTGGCAATGTGGCTCTACGACTCTCCGAAGCAGATCCTGCCGCTCCTGAACGAGACGCTGATGCTTCAGGCGGCCCGGAAGTTCAAAATCTACACCACCATGGCGAATGCCGGGGAGAACGAGCTGAGAGTTGCCATCAGCGGCTTCCCTGTGAAGGACGTCATTCGGGGCCTATGCTCACGGCACACCAACAAGCTGGTGCAGGTCAAGGGCGTCGTAACCAAGCGGACCGGGGTCTTCAATCAGGTGAAGCGGCTCTGGGTCCGCTGTGCCAAGTGCAATTTCGCCATGGGACCATTGGACGTAGCTGAGGAGACTGACCTGCGACCTTCCAAGTGTTTGGAGTGTCAGTCGAAGGGCCCCTGGAGAGTGGACCGTCAGCAGACCATCTACCAGAACTACCAGAAGCTTACCCTTCAGGAGAGCCCCAGCTCAGTGGATCCAGGTAAGATGCCAAGATCTAGAGAAGTGGTCCTCACGGGAGACCTGGTGGATACGGTCCGTCCTGGAGACGAGCTGGATGTGACCGGCATCTACAGGTGCCTTCACGATGCCGCCACGAATGCTCGCACATGCTTCCCGGTGTACCGAACCGACATCTTTGCTGTTCACGTCTCCCGCAAGGGTGACCTGAAGTTGGTGCAGATCTCCGATGATCAGCAAAATCAGATCCTAGAGCTCGCAAAAAGCCCAAACTTTCGAGAGCGCTTCATTGCTTCCATGGCACCCTCCATCTACGGCATGTGGCATGTGAAGACGGCCATTGCCTTGAGCATCATGGGAGGCCGTCCCAAAGAGGTGGCTGGCAAGCATCGCATCCGTGGCGATATCAACACCCTTATCGTCGGTGATCCTGGGTTAGGCAAGAGCCAGTTCCTGAAGTATGTGGAGCAGATCTTCCCCCGGGCAGTCTACACGACAGGTAAGGGAGCCAGCGCAGTGGGCTTGACTGCAGCGGTCACACGGGATGAGACCGGTCACTGGTGCCTGGAGGGTGGCGCCATGGTCTTGGCAGATGATGGCATGTGCTTGATTGACGAGTTCGACAAGATGAATGACAAAGATCGAACTTCGCTGCACGAAGCCATGGAGCAGCAGTCAATCTCCATCTCCAAAGCTGGGATCGTTGCCACCCTGCAGGCGCGATGCGCGGTGGTGGCCGTGGCAAATCCTACAGAGGGCCGCTATGATCCTCAGCGGACATTCTCCCAAAATGTGAACTTGAGCGATCCCATTCTCAGCCGTTTTGATCTCACATGCGTGCTGCGAGATGAGGCAGATCCTGTGCAGGACGAGATGCTGGCAGATCATGTGGTGTGCAGCCACATCCGCTCGCATCCAGATGCAACCCAGGAGGAGAAGAACAAGAAGCCGCGCTTGCAGTACCAGCAGACGCACGCGCAGCCTATCAGCCAGGATCTCCTCAAGAAGTTTATCGTCCATGCTCGTCAGCGAGTTGCGCCCAAAATGGGCGACGTTGATGCCGAGAAGCTCGCCGCCTTCTACTCCGAGCTGAGGGCAGAGGCGTCCCGCACCGGGGGCGTGCCCATGACAGCACGGCACATGGACAGCCTCATCCGGCTGGCAGAAGCAAATGCTCGTATCGAGCTCCGGCAGCACGTGACGTCCGCGGACATTGATAATGCCATCGCAGTGATGCTGGAGTCCTTCATCCAGAGTCAGAAGCATCAGGTTGCGGAAGAAATCCGCAAGAAGTTCCGTCGGTACCTGGCCAGAGGCCCCTTAGGTGACCAGGTTTGTGCACTCTTGGAGAAGCTCTTCAAGCAGAAGGTGATCCAGATTCAGCTTAGCCAGCCCGCAAAGGATGTGGAGATCAAGGATGTCTTCCTTGAGATGTCGGACATCGTTCGAGCCCTTGAGCAGCAGGATCTTGCTGTGGAGGACGCCGCAAGCTTCATGAGTGCGCCGCGTGTTCAGCAGAACTTCCGCCTCGACGGTGAGAGGCTCTATCGAGTTCTCTAGTTTCACTAGGGGAGGAAGCTGCCAAACAGATTAGAGGTGATGGAAAGTAGTGGTGGCAAGTGTTTTTTGATGTTTTGTTTTATTCTTATGGGCAGACTTCTGGACAAGTCTGTGGGTCTGGTCTCTGACTCCTCAGCGATGAGTGGAGGCCACACGATAATGTGCCCGATTCCGGGCTGGACCGCTCGGGGAGCTCTGAACCAGCCTGAAAAACCGTGGCCGTCCGCTGCCGACGTAGAATTCACATCCAAAGCATGCATTCATTCAATTCTGTCACTTCGCA